TATTATTATTATTTCTATTCACAGGCTTCATATGCACTAGGAAAAAATGAAGAACCTGGAAATGTGAGGTAAAAGTTAAAAACGGGAAAAGGCAGGGTCTGTAAATACCTGTAATTTTGTTTTGTTCTATAAAAAAGTTTATACTTAATGAAAAATTAATTATTGTAAAAGTTTTTGAATTTTATAAGTAATTTTTTGACCGCATATCATAAATATGATGTTTCTCAGTGAATTTTACAATAAATACGTCATTTACAAATGTGACCAAATTATTGGAGTTTTTTTAAAAAAATTCTTATAAACTACTTACAAAGTGCAGAGAAAGTATTGTAATGCTGCAGGAGGAAAACGCGATTTTTTGACGGAAAAGCTAGTTTTGCGAATCCTCAAGACCGATAAAGCACATAAGTCTTGTTTCTCCATATACTTGCTCAAATACGTTGAGTCGTCAGAATCCAAATTTTGGGGGTCCTTAATAGAAAAACTGGTGTACAGCAAAACGGCGCGCCTTGCTGTCTGCAATCAACAGTAGCTCATAAGCCGTACAGATAATTTTCTCCGAAATTTCAATTCCCCGATCCATCTGGGCGAACTCTAGACCCTACGAATTTGAAAGGGATATTTTGATTATTGGAGGGAATTTTACATGTCCCTGCAGTAGTATTTTTCAAATTTACACAAAATATTGCACCATTTTTTTGGATTAAACTTTTTTGTAGGATAGTACAAAGAACTATAAAAAATTGCGCTAGTGTCATTTTAGTTGAACTCGCTGAAATTTTGAAAATTGGAAAATGTTCGAACTTTTTCTGTTTCTTTCGACAGCTACTTACTTGAAGATAGATATTTTTCTTAATAAAATATAGATCTTTTAAGGTCATTTATAAATTTGAGTAGTACAAGCGCATTTTTGCAAGAAGTGTAGGTAGTTTTGAAAAGTTTTCTCAAAAACCTCAGCAACATTAATGAAAATAACTCATATCTCATTTTCTATAAAAAAATGTTGAAAATTTTCAATATTAATTATCGAATTTATTTCGTTAATGAAATTTGTTTCTCAAAATTAAATATTTAAATAAGGTCACTCACAATTTTTTGAAAACGAGTATTTTTGTGAAATTTTGAGTTTTGTGTGAAAAAGTTTAAATGTTTTCGAACCACTTTTATAATATTTACATTTTAATATTGACGTAAGACATTCCTCATTGCAATCCAAATTTAATTTAATGATCTGCAATCTTATTTCTCAAGAGTAGATTTGTAAATAATTTCAGTGACTTTTCTTCGACATGTTATCGCAATATTTGAATTTTCGGAAGTGTGTAAACGTTTTGCATATCATCGTCTACAATGAAGAAAATAAAAGTTTCACCAACAGCCGAGTAAAGTTGAGAGTAGTTACCCGAGTTACCATTTACTCCAAGATAGTAACTCTCTAGGGCTATTTTACTCTAGAGTACACACTCTCCTATTTACTCCGCAAATCAGCTGAACACAATATTTGACAGTGATTCAAGAGGGTGTGAGCGAGAATGGCGCTGGGAGCCAATGCGGACTAACGCGAACCTTTGATTAATTCCTTATATTCTATATTTCATTTCAGTTTCGGAGTTCTTGGCGTTATAATCTGGTGTGGTGTTATGGTGGTTTCAGTTAGCATAGTTTATTTTGTAGTTTCTGTATCTTTATTTCCTAATAAATATTCATTCTTCTTCTCTGGAGACGATTTACTATTTTGTTAGCAATGCAGAAAAATCAAATTTGCAGTTCGTTTACCGACGGCGGTGCAAATTACTTTTCTATAACTAGGGAACGAAAATGCTTATTTTTCAAATGTTGCTGATCTCGTGTTTTTCTAAATTTTATTATTATTATTTGTTGTTTTATTTTTTAAACTTTTATTCACCTTTCAACTATTTGTAGTTAAAATGTTGGAAAGGGATTCTGGAACACAAGAAAACGTGGGCAAATGAACTCTCCCATACGTCACATACAGTTTTTATTGAATAAATAAATGAATATTTCTTAGTACTTGTAGTTCCTGTAGTTATTATTTTTCCTTTTGTTGTCATATTTGGTACGTACTACCTTTCTTTCGTATCCACATGGAAGAAAAATAATTTTAGAAGTTCTCTAGTTTACAATGTATCTGATGTTAAACAGCTGATTTGGTCAAACATAACCTCATGACAAAATCTCGATCGTCATAATTAAAACCAATCCATTCTCTCTCGCACCCTTTGTTCGCACTAGTGGATTATATTCCGAATCATTCCTGGAATCGTCTTCAAATACTATCATTCGTAATCGTCGAACCGTAACAACACTTCGGAGGTACATGCACGTTGAAAACTGAATTTACTCCGTACTTTACCCGACGGATTTTCGCGGTGTAAAGTTACTCTCGTGTAAGGGATTTACACTCGAGTAAAGTGTTGGTGAAACGCCCCAAGAAGTTACTCTCGAGTAAACATGATTTACTCCAGAGTAAACTCTTACTCTTTGTTTGGTGAAACCGGCCATAAATGGTGTTAAAACGCACTCTATACATGTTTCCATTTGCTTTTGGTTGTCAGCATTATCGGGATTGGTATGTTGCAAAATGAACATGGCAAACGAATCCTGTGTCGACTGTCGCTTTTCCAAAGGTAACAAGAGTCTCTCGATGCTAGTTCGCCTTATTAACTAATAATTTTATTTACCCTTAAAATACGCATCGAATATCGTTGCTGTATTATACTGCGATTTTTGCAACGTTGCCCCTGGCAGGAATCAGCTGTTGGCGATTTCATCCAATCGCGAGCTTGAACGACACCGTAGTGACCTTGGATGAAACCGCCAACAGCTGATTTCTGCCATGAGCAGAGTTGAATAAATCGCAGTGTATGTTCATGAATACTACGTAGCAGAAATCTAATTTTTGGATCACCGGAGAATAACGAAAATAAGTGGAGACGAAATTGAAAGAGACTGAAAATCGTTGTTCTAACAATCGCAGTGTAGGTTCGAGAATACTACGTAGCAGAAATCTAATTTTTCTAACGAAAATAAGTGGAGACGAAATTGAAAGAGACTGAAAATCGTTGTTCTAACCTCAGGATAAAAGACGCTACAAAGAAGGCGACATGGATCGATTTTGGAAAACTCAGTCTGGATTTCGAAAGACTTTGTGTTCTGAAGAGTTTCGGTGAAACATAAATTACAATGTTCAGGATTATTTGAGAATACTTCATATTATACTTACCTTAAGCCAATGACTCATTTAAGGCACACATGGAATATTGTATTTTCATTGAAATCCCAAATAATAATAATACATTATATTATAATGTATTAAATGATGTGCAATACTTTGATGTCATGTTAAAATTATTTCATAAGATATGGCCTTAAATCAATCAACCAGCTACATTAAATATATCATTTTATACTTAACTAGTGTTCATCGATTTAAAAATGATATATTTACCTTCAAAAATGAGTATGTGTGCAAAACGCTTGTTCAAATAGGTCCTAACCTTCAAGTCGCGGAACGAGAGGTCTAGATATGTGACGTCATAGAGTTGTTGGGCCTGTAGTAATAGAAAGTATTGTTTGGCCACGGTGAAACGTTATGCCTACATGTAGTGACGCCAGAAGCAAGATGGTCGCCTGCCAATAAGCATGATGTTTTTGGTGACATTGCCTAGGCTGACAAAGCTCCCCTTAGTGGCGTATAATTACTCTGCCAAACACAGATTTTAAGTGAGGATACTAAAAAAAAATATTTAATTGTAAGTCATTCATGTTCTCTCTCTTTTTGTTAAAAACATGCTAAGGATACTTTCGAGACACGGTTTCGCCTTATTTTCAGGTATTAATACATCTGCAATGGTTTATTATACCTTCTATGCTAATACTATAAAACTAAGATTCGATAACAATTTTCAATATTATATTCACTATACATATGACTTTTAGTACGGATGACAGCACCATCGCTTCTGGGTGGGAAGCGGTAAGCTGCTATAAAAATAATAGAAACCGTGAACTTCTGGATAAAACACGACATAAGTAGAGACCGGAAAAATAAGTAGTATCGAACGTCAAATTATTTTCTCGAAGATAATTAATATGAATTTCTAAACTAAATATTTAAAAAGCCGACAGTTTATAAAAATATACGGGAGTCACTTCCGTAATAGCACAGGGGCTCGACATTTGGTAATAGCACTTTTCATATCTGGCGAAAGGGCACTGGGAAATGTTTCACACATTTCATCTTATTATAAAGCAACACCTTAGCAATCATGGTTAAGATCATGGTAATAGTTACTTCGAACCTTTTTTCAAAAAGAAAAGATAGTGACTTGACATGTGTTCATAAAGTAGTGTGATTTTAAATCCAATTTTCCAACGAAATTCGCAGCCACAACCTAAATAAACAGACAGAAAGCAAATATAATTGTAAATAACAAATATGATAAGACTCATGCACCTCCGAAACCGCATATTACAGCCATAAACTTAGTAATTCTCTAGGAATTACGTGCACAGCAACTGCCATTGCCACCCAACACTTTCCCGCCAAATGTGTATTCTGGACATTTGGCTAAAATAGCCCAGATTAGTTCCTTTATCCACGGCATGATGTTGCTGAAGTTCAATTGTTCCATAGAGGAAGGATAGTGTATACACCACAACAGTATTGGTGGATATCGGAATGTAAATTGAATAAGAGGAGTAGAATTATGTTATTATTGTAAAAATATTTACGAAAATATGTGTTTTACTCTTTGTAAATAATTATGAAAACGGAAGTTCTCTGAAACGTAATTAGTATTCAACATGTTTAATAATGTGAAATAAATATTTAAAATACGATTTATAAAATATATAAAGAAAGAATGATTAATATACCAATTAAAATTTTAACTCAATTATTACATTTTCATAATTATATTCTTTCCAAGTTCTGTGCAATCTCTTTGAAAAACATGATTGGTTAGAGAATCCGCTGGCGGTCGTGGTTTCCTGTTCCGGTCACTATTATACTCTTTCCGTTGTGTGAATTTTCTCAGTGAGTCGGGTTAGTTATCATGGCTGTTGGGAAGAATAAGGGCCTTTCGAAGGGTGGGAAAAAAGGCGTCAAGAAGAAGATGTAAGTTACGATTCCTTATTATTTAAGTTGTATTTCCTTTTGGTTTATTTCTTTGTTGATGAATTTAACTCTCGTGTTGCATGATTTCTCTGATATTCTGTGATATGAAAACATGGTCAATGCACGTCTGCATGCATGTGTTCATATGTTAGTACGTTTTCGGGATGAGGATTAGTGTGCGTGGGAATATTCTAGTAATTAAAAATTGGTATGAAGAAACGTCTGATCTATATTTCAGTGTGGATCCCTTTACAAGAAAAGATTGGTACGATGTGAAGGCACCGTCAATGTTCAGCACCCGACAAATCGGGAAGACTTTGGTTAATAGGACTCAAGGCACAAGTACGTATTTAACTTCGTTAATCAAACTTACTAGAAGTGTATTTTTGTCTGAATTGCGCACTGGAGTGCATATGTGTTAGAATCCGTTCAACCTTTAACCGATCTGGTTTAAAAGACACTCCTTGACTGGTGGGGACCAGGTGAACCCCGTTTTATAAAATGAAATTTCAGTAAGAACTTGAAATTATATATACAAAATGTCATGTATACGATCATTTACATTGAAATGGATAATGTTACATTTAACCCATTTATGCCCAAATTTTTTGCTGAAAATTCTTGACCATTTTTATTTTGCAAGTTCCTATGATAGTAACAATACCATCTGTGAAGTTCATTTGCAATAATATATTTTATGGTGAAATAATTACATGTTCACATTTGGGAACAGTGGATGCGGATGAGGTGGTGTAATTTTTTGCGATATTGTCAGTCTTTATCAGAACATACCTTTACTGTTGAAATATTGTATGTAAATGAAATATCAAATAGAAGAAAAAGGAGGAATGTCTGTTATGAAATAGAACACAACAAAAATTAGTTTGTGTGTTGTGAAAATGCAGCACATCATCCTTGCATTTGTTTGGCAATATGCACATTGATTGTTGACCACTCTTTATTATGTGGCTATTACCATTATACCTCAAAGAGTCTTAACTCTTTTAGTCAACAGATTTTACATTAACGCTGGGTCTTCGATGTAAACCTCTTTAACAAAATTTTTAAGTTATGCTAGACATGTCTTCCAAATCCAAGAAAATAAAGCTGGTTCTTTTTGGCTTTAGCCCATTTGTGTAACTGCCAAACATTTTTTACCGCGCAATTTCAAGGATAAGAGAACAATTGCCAATACAACTTCTTACCTCTTATATTCACTCTCATTTTGGCTAGGTTCTCATCCTCACAGTCAACCTGCCAAAGCTGTACATGGCTGGTTTATGTGAATATATTTTTTTTGCGTGCTTGACTGAATCTCTTAGCTTTAGACAGGAGAGGCACCCGAATTAGTTGACGCTACTGTGTAAATTGAATTATTGTGTAACGTATTAGTGATGCAGAGATCAGTTTCTGTAACTTGATCAAACGTCCCACGAGAATTTTTGCTGAGTTTTTGAGTCAATAAGGTGTGCATTATTTATCTGGTTTTATTGTATGGTTGCAGTGCCATTCAGCCCCCTCTCCCTTAGTTTCTCAAGTTTGCATATACTAGTAAACAAATTGTCAAAGTGTATACTTTTTTTTATCAATAAATTTGAAGACAACGGAACTTCCCACCCCCACTTCTGGAAAGATATAGCTAATTTTTTTTCCTTGGTACAAATTGGCTGACACCAAATAGCCTAATCGTGTACATAAACACTAGCCTTTGTACCCAAAATGCATTGGTGGCATGTGTTGCTTGGCCCCATGATGCACAAAATATGGAATCTGATTCATCAACACAAATTATTTCCCCGTGGGAAATATTTTGCCCATCTTTCATCAGCAATTTCCTTAGAGGGTGCACTTTTGCAAAGCGGTGGCCTCTTTTAAGTTGATTGTTACAGACATGTAAATATTATATTATTTGACAAAATCTGTTTCTTGGCATTATTGATGTGCATTATTGGATTGTAATATAATACTTAACATCAGTTTCAATTGATTCCTCAATGTTAACTTATGCTCCAGTATAACTAATGAACATAATGTTGTGGTATGGTAACATGGTATGAATACAAGTGTGCCAATATTGGTAATGGATTTATTGGTATGGTAACATTTCATGTAATTGAAAATGTCAACCCCATATAGATTAATATAAATTCCATTTTACAACTATTTAAATTACTTCACTTGTTATTCATATTGCAAATTCATAGTTACTTATAGGTCTTATTAATTAGTAATGTTTAAAAGTTTTAAAAAATTTCGAAACATTCCTGTAAGGATGAAGTTGTTTAACATCTTAATGCCGCGAGAACTTTTAATAAGGGGGAAATCGGCAATCCTCTTTTAGTCATTGGGACTTTGTCGACCATCGGCACAAATGTATCCACTACAGTAGTTTTATTGAAACGAAACTGCTTTCAGAATTGTTCATCATTCTACATTTCCAATAGGTTGCTCTTATCTCTAATATCTCTTTGAATTTTGCAGGATATGTTGAGTATAAAACTCAAAGTAATCTTCGAAGTTGTTTTCCATAACATGTTTCACAAATGATAGGTTTTAACTGCCTACACAATACAAATACCAGCAAAACAAATTCAACAGTCTGTGAAAGCTGCGTAAAAGTATAACCTAAATTGGTTACGACTGACAATGTGAGTGACCTATGAGGGAGCAGGCTGCCTTGCTTGAAGGAATTAGTTCTCACCTATGATAGCGCTCAAGGGCGGTTTATGAATACATCCACTTAAGGGTACACTCTGTGTAAGAGAAGACTATGAATTCGGCCCTATTTGTCATCTTTACGATGGTATGCACAAAATGTCCCTTTTGTCGGATACAGCCGTATATTTCGGATATATCCAGACATTTTTATGAGAAATCTTATTCTAATAGGGTACTTAATTGCGCCACATTTTGCAATTTTTAGGTAGTAGTGTATATTTGACTTGGCAAGTGGGGATCATATTAATCATGTTATGGCTGTCTGACATACCTGATGCTGATCGGTGAGGGGTGTAATTAATTATTATTAGAAATTTTTCAATTTCATTTTGTATTCCATTCATTCTCAAAACATTCGTTGCACGTCCAGAATCACTTATGGTAGAGTACCATATGAGGATTCAAAGTGCATAAAACAAATGCTTGTTTTGCAGAGGAAGCTTGCATTTTTTTGCTCTTATTCTTTTGAAAATAAGCTACATTTGTTTCACACATGGAGACTTGTAAAAAATAACTTCATGACACTAAGGTTGCACCTAAGTATGGCTTGAATTCTCATGATCTGTCCCTTATTCTTATAGCATGTAGATATAATCCTTAAATTTTCAGAAAATTTAGATAGAAATTAATTGTAATTTAGTACTTTTGGAAGGTGGAGAGGTCTTGGCTAATTTTTAGTCATGTTAATCATGTTGGGATCTTACTGAACAACTAAAACATGGGAGGCAGCCATTGATCCCAATAAACTAATATTTAGTCAGTGTGTGAGATGTGAGGAAGTGATTAGTTCTTTATCATTAGAAACTTGGTTTGTTGTAGGTAATGCCACAAGCGCCTTAAGAATTGTTGAAAAATACCTGACTCAGGAAAAGAGGGAGATTTATCTGAGAGTTTTCAAAACATAAATGGTATTTAACCGAACCATTCTACAAATTAAGTTCCAAGAGTTCCAAAATGCTCCAAATAGTGAAAATAACTAAAAGCTGTGTTAAAGTCAAAGGGATTATGTTATTGTATATAAGCAGTTTCTGGAATATTAACATTATGATTGATATTCTCCTCCTCCTCCTGAGATAATGGGTTATAGGTTTGATAGGCCGGTTGGGAGAAACGGTAAGAAAAAATTGAATACAAAAGGCAATGTTTTTGAGGTACTGCCGTGATTAGGGTATTTTGTATGTATAGTTAAAATTTTTGTTTTCATTTCAAGACGAATACTATATTAATTTTCTTTTCCATTTATTTCCAAAACCTTTGTTGCACATCCAGAATCACTTATGGTAAAGTACCATATAGGGATTCAAAGTGCACAAAACAAATGCTTGTTTTGCAGAGGAAGTTTGCATTTTTGCTCTCATACTTTTGAAAATAAGCTATACGTGTTGTATTCATGTGTGAAGACCTAAAAATTTTCCTCAGTTCGAGATTATAAACTAGTGCTTTGGTTGTCACGATTTCTCTCATTTGTTTAGAATGTAGGTATTATCCTTAAATTTATAGCAATTTTTGGTTTGAAAAAACTAATTCTGTTGGCATGGGGTAAATGTTCTTAAATCAACTTTTGACAAAATTGTGTGAAGCACTGAAAATACAAGTTTGGTATCTATATTTTATTTTAGTAAAACTACTGAATTCATGTTGCCACCTGAACAACAAAAAAGAATAGGAAAATATAGATTAATCCTTGTTTCTCTAAACTAAGACTTTTTACTTGAGAACTTTTGCCCCATGGCCACAGAATAAGACGAATGTCATAATTCATAATGACAGATTTATCCACTTTTGGGAGGTAGTGTATTCTTGGCTAGATTTTTTTCAGTCTTAAGTGTATCTGTTCTTTATGAAATAATTGTGGATAAGGGAGGGGCAGCCTTTTGATACCAATAAACAAAAAGTTTACATGAGGGTTTGTATTTCAATTAAGTCTTGAGGAGCGTCATTTGTTGTTTATTTTTAGATACTTCATTTATGATATTACTTTGTATTAAATTTATTCCCCCAAAATTTGATATGCATCCAGAATGACTTGAGTACTGTGAGGATTTGAAGCACGTCAGTGCATCAAGATATATTTCACCTGAGGGCATGTGAAAATTTATCTAAAAATGGGATGCTTGGGACTAAGTAGGGCTAGAAACATAATGATTAATTTCGTATTCATTTAGCATGCATATGATTCCCTTTTTTGCCAAAGGTAGGGCACATCTTGTCATATTCATTACCGTTAAGCTCTATGAAATAACTGAAGATTAGGGGAAATGTCAACTGAATATGTGGATATACATGAAATAAATTGTATAATTGTTGCAATAAATTGCACCCACTAATTGATTAGTATATTGCTAAGATAAATCCCTCGTTTAAATCGTATATATATTTTTATTGAACCTACTTTTTTTTTCTTTCTCAAAATGAAACTTATGTTTGTACTGATTTGGTCAAATTTTAACAAATTTCTGATCGATGATCTTTCATTATTTTAGAAAATTTGACAGATTAAACTGAAATTCAGGAGTTGTTAGGGTGTTTGAATTTGTAATAGTTGAACATCAACAAAACTGCTGCCTTTTTGGAATTTTGTGTACATAGCAATAAAAAGAACAAGGAATCATTCAAGATGGGTCAAAACATGGGTAACGAAGAAAATTTGAATATTCCATCATGGATTATGATATAATTAGAGTAAACATGTAATAATTTATTAGTTCACCGTTTTTTAAATTACAAGTGCGCAATCCTAGTGCAATTCTGGTGGTTTGCAAATATATTGACTAAAATTATTAGGTACATGTCCATTAACAAAAACATAAGTGCCGTTGGTGCTGTGATTTATCATACAACTTAATTAGTATCTGGAATTCGTTAATGAAGCAATTTTTCTGTATAATTCCAGAGATGTAATTATAAATTTCGCAGATCAGTTGATAAATATTTCTGTGTATATTTCCCTAATGGCAATAAACTAAAATTTTGTCAGGGTTTGACTTTCAATTAAAAGCAATTTCATTGGATGGTATCTAACTTACAAAGGCATGAAAAGTTTTGATTTCAAGGATCTTGTTTGGTCTTATTTTTGCTCTACAGTAGATAAGTAAAAGGATATTGTCTAATATTGTAAATCAGTTTACATCTTTGCTTAAAAATGGTGTTTTAATGATGAATATTAAATGTTACTGCTTTGAGTTAATATTAAGTGGATGCTAATTTTTTATGTAGTTGTGTAAACATGTTAAATGGGCTGAATTTTAATCTTAAGATGTTATTAATCCTTGTTATTCATTTACAGAAATTGCATCCGATGGCCTGAAGAATCGTGTTTTTGAAGTTTCATTGGCTGACTTGCAAAGTGATACAGATGGAGAGAGGTCTTTCAGAAAGTTTAGATTGGTTGCTGAAGATGTTCAGGGTAAAAATGTTTTGACCAACTTCCATGGAATGGATTTAACTACTGATAAGTTACGGAGTATGGTTAAGAAGTGGCAGGTATGAAATTTGTCAATATTTGACTCTTACTTTGGATCCCTTTTGTGTATTGTACCTCTTATGATGAAATAGCAAGCAGCTGGGCAATATGGATAACAACAAAGCCAATGTAATGGTCTTCGTCAAATCTGCTATCGCTATTAAATTACACAACCTCGATGCAATCAATTATTGGCTGTAAAAGGGACTGAAATCGAAATTAATTTTAGGGGACAATTAAAGTATTTCATTCTCAATATAGCAGATACTGAACAAAAGCCAGTAAAATTAATGCTAATTGGTCCATACACACACCTTTTTATTTGACAAAATGAGTGTAAATAATTGCTTCTGTGATTGGAGTATGTGAAAACATGGATTACAGATATTTTAAGCAAATATTTAATGCTTCAAGAAAGGTTTCTTGAATTACAAAACTACAGATGTATGGAGTTTATGTAAAGTAAAAGAATAAACAACAATGTAATTTAAAACAACATATGCGATGTATTTAAAAATCATTAACGTAAAGGGCTTTTTGTGATGCATTTGTAAAGGGAATAAAACGAATGATTCTAGTTTTTGAAGGACTGCACCTGATTAAGACTGAAAAAATATTGGGACCCTGTTTCCATCTTGTCCAAAGTCACTTGCCTTCTATGAGGGGCAGCCTTTGTTTTCGTATGTTGTTAAAATTTGAAGAACTTCAATGTTTTCCATTTTACCTTCAATTTGAAACTCTCAATTTTTGAAATCATCTGCATTGTTTCAGGATGTAATTGTGTTCAATCTTCAGCAACAAAATGCTGCACTTGGATGTTTATTTCCGTTTCTGAAGTATCCCTTCGTTGATAGTTTTCTTATTAACTGCATCTAATGACACTTGAGGGAATTGGATTCCTAGTGTGGTATCTGTAGTTGACTGTTATAATTTGGTGACAAAAATATAACTTTAATTTTGCAGCCCACTAGTTTCTTTTTAATGAGCAGAACATTGATCAATAAAGAGGACAATTTTGCTATTCTTCTTCCCTATCTGCCTATGTACTTATAAGAGTCTTGAAAAAATTCTTCCAGGCTTGTTGGTTTGCCGTGTATTTGGTTGGAATAGTTTTAATTTTTTTAAACTTCAGGAGTTCTAAAGAAGGCAATTTTTTTGCTTCTGATCATGTTACATGTCAAAAGCAGTGGTTGATTTAATACCTCCGTGGCTTGGGTCCCCTTTAAAAGCTAATGTTTTGTTTGGCGAAAGATCAAACCAGTTTCGCCTTTTATTGATTTTAAATTTTTATTTTTTTATTATTATTATTATTATTATTTATTAGTCCTCGGTTAGCTGATGAATCTGTTGTTTCTCATCCAAACTGATGGCTGGATTCACACTTCCACTTTCTCCGTGGGCATTTTTGTTAATAAGATTAACACCTTTTGAAGCGGTCCAGTCAGCTGTTGGAAGCCTTGAAGTCGTGGAGTTGCTGCTATATGTAACATTTTTTCTGTTAGATGTGATCAATCAATGGCTAAATTAAATGTTCTCACTTGCTTTCACAAACTCCAGGGAGTAGTTTCCAATTCATCCATTAGAGACATTCAGTGATTTTTGAGACTTCAAAACGAGTCTCATGAATTCAGTCACACTCTTGAATCCACTCACACTGCACCACTAGTTTTCTTTCAAACAAGTTGTGCATCTTAGTGGACATGGTATTTCGTGCCAGATAATTTGAAGATGTGTAAATTGTTGTTAGCTATGCTATTGTATGTGGAATAATTACTAGTTTCATTGCTACTTGATGTTCACTATTCAAATATAAACAAGGATGTAATGATTAATAACCATTGGTTTTATTTTATTTAGACATTGATTGAAGCTCATGTTGATGTCAAAACAACAGATGGATATCTACTGAGAATTTTTTGCATTGGTTTCACTCACAAGGATTCTATGTCTCAAAGGAAGACTTGTTATGCTCAACATAATCAGGTTAGTAAAGATCATTAACAATACCATATAAACTTGTTTCTTAGATAATTAAGGCTTGGGTCAAGCTCTGCTAGAATACTTTCAGAATTTTCTGAACGTTAATAGTAGGGCTTAGAAGAACACAAGAACTTTTAAGCCTTTATTCTGTACTGGAATAAAGAGTGAGTCACTCTTGTCACAAATATTGATGGCAAAATTGCCTTGTAATTGTGTTAAAATATTATCAGATAGTATATGTTAACTATATTATGCTGCTATTCAATTGGTGACTGTCGCAACTTATTTTACCTTATTAAACTTCCAATTAGGTTAGGCAAATCCGCAAGAAGATGGTTGAAAGAATAACCCAAGAAGTCAGTTCATGCGATTTAAAAGAAGTCGTTAACAAGTTGCTTCCGGATTCAATCGCTAAAGATATTGAAAAGTTGTGTCAAGGCATTTACCCATTACATGATGTTTATATTCGGAAGGTAAGATTGAAATAATGTGGTAATTGGTAAGGTAAAGCAATTCTTGAAATTCATGAGAATTTTTGTCGCAGGTGAAGGTACTGAAGAAGCCTCGCTTTGAGTTGTCTAAACTGTTGGAACTTCACGGAGATGGTAAAGGAAGCACAGATGAACCTGGTGCAAAGGTTGATAGACCTGAAGGTTATGAACCTCCTGTTCAGGAGTCTGTTTAAATTTACAGATAAATAAATATTTGGATAAAGTCTTGGAAATAATATTTTGTAAATTTCTTTCCCTTATACTTTACTTTTAGGGCTTGTTTTGAATTGTGTGTGTTTAATTAGCGGAGCTTGCCAAACATGCTTAATGGTCTGCGAGATATTTTTTTACTATAATTTTGATATACAGCAATAAGAAAATGTTTGCCAGAGTGCTGTTGTTTTAAGAAGCTTCATTATAGCCGTTGTGTTCTAATGGATTTATTGTAGCACTGGTATACTTCATAACACACCAGGAAAGGGTGTGAAAAGATGTTTAATTATGTCATTGCTTGTTATAAACTGTTCATTAGTGTGATTTATTTATTAATTTTCAATTAAGTGGGCAATTTGTCCAAGTGAGTACATAAAGAACAGGTAACTCAAATTACATCTCAATCATGTCAGAATTATTCTAAATACAAGTTCACATCAAGTACAGTTTATATTATCTACATGTAGGGAATAATAGAAAACAAACCAATAGGCTATAGTACCGGCGGAGTATAAGCGTTGGACAGGAAGGTGTGCCATTACAACACATTACTATGCACAGGGCAACAACTCAATGACAGATAAATGAAGTCTCAAGACATTGACACACACTGTGAGGCAATGACAGGTCTCGATATATTTGTAATCTTTATGACAGCCTGGTATGCCTTGGCAGGGGCACTTATTACTGATACTAATGGCAGGGATCTGTGTGCTTATTGAGCAACTTACGCGAGTCAGGTAAGCAGCAGTGCTGAACCCTGGATGGGAGAAAGTGAACACAACCTTGCAAGTTGATTGCTTCAGACTAGGTTATATGACCTACCATGGTGCAAGGAATATGTTACATGCTGCCAGTGCTAAAACAAAAATTACAGGGTTAGGAACATAGTGATGCTAATTTTAAGTTGTTTTTTCTTTTTAGTAATATTTTGCAATATCAAAATAAATGAAAAGAATGAGGTACCACAATGAAAATTACAGGAATAAAAACAAATTGAGAATTATAACTAGGGTAATGGATTTTCATAAGTCAATTCATATTTTTACAGGAACAATATACTGCAGTCAATATAATGGTTTACAAGGCATTTTAAATGAATTTTAACTTTTATTTTACATGTTACACATTCCATCCAAAACCACTTTCTTTACATTTAAATATAGTTAAATTTCAAAATTAAGCACTTCAGGTGCAATATATAACTGATAGTATTTTTTACAAGGTAATGAAATGCTACCGTGCTTTTTGCCTTCAAGATTTGTCGAAGAAACCTCGCCAATACTTCTTGAAAGATGACTGGGTGTTTGTGAGGCAGAAGTAATTTAGTAACTTCAACCTCCTACTTGCGTGCTCATTTCAGAGTGCTTCCATAACTATTGAAAAGTTGTTGAATGTTTTTAATAGATCTTAAATTATTTTAAACTAAAGAATTTTTATTTTGTATGTCCTGTTTTCTTACAAGTTTTTTCAGAAATAAGTATAGGGTTAGCGCTTGTTATATACTTCTTCAATTATACCATTAAATTCCATTCCCAATTCTACACATTCTGTTAATAGGGTTGTTAGCTGCATATAAAAGTTTATAAAACGGCAAAAGAGCAATCAATAGTACCACTTTAAAGTTTAAGATATGCTGTTACTCTTCTTTTTTTATTTTATTTATAATTAAATATGGTCTTTTATGAACATTACTTGGACTGTTTAGTTGACATATTACATCCATAAGGGTATTAAATTTATTTTTAAATATTCCAGTGTCAACTGTCAGACGGCAATACATCTGTACTTCCACTCATACATCTAATATCTCAAGAAGCTAATTTTTGTTTTCTTTTGTAAAGGAATTCTGTCTGCAGATGCTGATATGTCTTGTGCTACAGCACTTGTTTTGTAAACATTTGCTTTGCACATACAGATTCACGAGTTTTATTTATAGTTAAGTTCAAATTCTCTATTGCTGTGAGTTATAGGCCACAAAATTAAGAGATGTCTTCTGTAAAGGTGAAATGTGAAGGAATCTTTAAAATATGCATTTTCAAAGAAAATCAGCATATCAAATCAAATCCTCATTGAGAAACTGATAATGGGTCTGAATGCAAATGAAACTACTAATCCATCTAATAGTGTAAATACAGAAGTTGAGAATTTTGTGAATATGAGAAGACAATTTCTCAGAAGTATTCCATGGCAAAATATAAAATGTGGTGCATTCAAGAACATTGTACAGGAATACCATAATATTTTGTGACTCAAAGCCTTACCATTACAAGAGGATCAGAAGCTGTTGTAACGTAGAATGATGGGTGCTGAAAAAATAGAAAATATCTGCAAAAATCATGCTGATATCTGTTGGGAACGTGGCAGATTAAGCATAGCAAAGGCAGAATATGATTTGCAATGTCAAAGAAGGCAAGAAAGGAAAATATGGTATAAAAGATAGTAAAACCAGTTATTACGATGTAGATTGCTTTTAGTTACTCTAATGTAAAAAAAATCCTAACATTTTGATGCTATGAAAACTTTTCTCAGAAGTTAAAATTTTCAAACGTGCCCCATTCCTGGAAACTAAACTTGGAATTGCAAGAGACTTTGTGATGATAAACCATGTACTAAGCACTGGGATCCTCAATGATTACAAATTAGTGTTTTAAACTCGGTAGTTTTAGGACATTCTCTCTTTGTGTTTGACGTTTTTGGTATAATTTTATCAAGTCATAGCCCGAAGGCGGACGTTCGCTCGGTTTTTAAGGCGGTTCCACACATTCGCCGAGCAACAAGCTACTGCTCGCCAATCCCGGTCAGCTGATGCGTTCGGCGAATGTTCCCTCCCTTTGATGTCTCTAAAGACCGATACGCAGAGGGCAGTGAGAATACCGAATGTTCGGCAAATCGCAAGCAACCTTTCCACACTACTCGGGATTCGCCGAATACCGCATGTGTGGAGCCACCTTTGGAGGATGGAGACGGAAACGCGAGTCGGCAACACCACGTTAGCAACTTCCGAAATAAATTTAGTTTCAACGAAAACTAACCTGCATTATTTGCGAAAATCTTCATACTATCGGACAACAACATTTTATAAAAAACGGAGCTATTTTTTTAATGCCCCAGGAGCTTAATGTATAGGAAAAGGAATAGCTAAAATTGCAAATGATTAAACATACATTTTTGTAATTTATTAAAAAATTGTAATACATAACTAGATACAAGTATAAAAAGTATTACATAACCATTACTAAAGGCGATAAAGTACGTGCCGTTTTAACACCGCCAGTTATATGAAGTTGCTCTACAGCTGTCGCAGTTTCTCGGCTCTCAGTCCCTATGCCTCTCTATTTGGCCATTGATCATCTTGCATTTTTCTTGCCGTCATAGCCTCACACTAACTGCTGTATGCAAGTCAGGGTCGCCCTCGTTTGTCTTTCTGTCGGTATCCATTGCAGGACTCGTTTTGGCCGTCTTTAGTATGTCATTCGATTGGCATAACAGTACCAAACGTTTTCTCTATTTCGGTCCTGATTCTGTCACGTCTGTTATAACAACTTGTTGGTCAGTCCATTTCAAGGGCCAGCAGCTTCCCTCTTGTTTTATCAATCTCCCATACTTCTGAATCGTACGTTGTAACACTCTACGTAGTGTGGCGTAAAGACGTTTAGTAGTGTTAGTGGTGGTTTTGTTCCATAACAGAGTTTATACTTCGTGTCACGTTTCTCCCCAAGTTTATTCGGCTCTCAATTTCTTCTCTTTTGTTAAAAAGTACACCGAAATATTTATATTTGTTCACTCCTTTCATTTTCCCCCTACTTTCCGGAAGGTATTCTATCGTATTGTTTCCAACTACCAGATATTCAGATTTGTCCATGTTAATAAAGCCCTGTTTTTAAAACGTATTCATTAATTTTACGGATCATGAAACTCAAATCGTCCGCTCTTCTGCGATTAAAATCTAGCCATCGGCAAATTATAATTTATTCATTCCGATCTTCATTCACATAATTCTGTTTCTTCCACTGCTGTAAAATTTGATGCAGATAGACTTACATTTATTTAGTGAAAACTGTATGTGACGTATGGGGGAGAAGATTATATGCGCACATTTTCTTGAGTTCTAGAATCTCTTTCCGCCATTTTAGCTGTAAACAGTTGAAAGATGAACAAAACTTTAACATGAATTAAAAGAAATTTTAAAAATCGCAAGATAAACAATTCTTGAAAAAAATGTACATTTTCGTTTCCGAGTTATAGAAAACATATGCATCTGTAAACGAATTGCAAGTATAATTTTCTGCATTGCTAACAACATAGTAACTCGCACTTACCGCTACTCTTACCATTATGAGCAAAAAGTTAAACAAAATGTGCGCATAGTGAAGCAATTTTTACGTCCAGAAGCAAGAAATGGGGCTATCACAGCACGACAAAAAACGTATTGAGATGAGGTATGATATACAAGATATTTTAAACAATGTTGGGGAAAGACAGCAACCCTGACGAAGGCCATTACGGACGGAATGGATCCCAGAGCCTGCTGCAGATCTTAATCTGAAAGGTGGTGTTCTTACATAGTCTGGGTGGCTCCAACTTTAGTTCTCATTGATTTTAAGTCCATCCATTTCTTCCCATACTCTAGCAATCAGTACATTGTCATATGCCTGAAGAATAATGAAACCCTGATGAACTTGTCTACCTCTCCTAGTTCTCTTTTTTACAAGTTGTTTGACTTGAATATTTTCAATAATGAACGCGATTCTTTGAATTACATTTATTATGTAGTTTAAGAAGGCTTGCATTTGTACACAAGATACTCATAACGTTTTACAATACGATCCATACATGGATACCACCACCCTCGTACAAAAACATAGTCAACGAGTTTATAATATAAAAACTGATAAAACAAGTTCTTAAATAAACAAGGGAAAGGTATTTGAGAGGCTTCCACTCACGCGAATCCTGCCAACTGCTCTCTCGCGGAACGTCATCAGAGACGAACAGTTTGCATTCGGGTTTTCACCGGCCCTTCCGCATCACTACAAGCACTTTGCATGGCTCAGCAGATTTTCGCTGATTTGGTACTTATGCAGGATGTGTCTGCCATATCTCGACATGGTGCAAGTCTTTGACAAAGTGCCACACAGTACACTCGTCACATAACGTGGGCGCTGCCTGCCACAAGACGTAACCGAAATGGTTACGACTTTCCTCACAACCAGCACATTCGTGGTAAATGTGGGTTGTGGCCGGAGTCCCTCAGGGCTCCGTCCTCTCCCGCTACTGTTCACGTTGTATGTCAATGACTTTCCACATATACCACGAATACGGCTCTTCCTTTATGCCGATGACATAGCCGTCTTAGCAAGAGGAATAAACCTAGACTACAAACTCAAAATACTTCAAAAACAGATGAAGTGGGAGGTACAAAACCACTTGACCTTTTCAGCGGAAAAGTCGCAGACCATCTGTTACACCCGCCGCAAACACAAATACACCAAACAAAAACACAAATACAACAAAAACACCAGCTAAACAAATTACACTTTGCTCACAAAAACTGACATGGACATCTAAGGCAACCTACTTAGGAGTCACTTTTGATCGACGGATGCGCTGGCATTTACATGTCAGACGGATTCGATCAAATTACTGCAAAGAGTTCGACTCTTACATCTTTTAAGGGAACCTACACTCCCCTTGGAACATCGCTTGGCACCATAAAATGTCGCCGGCCTGTGGCCACCTACGCTGCGGCAACGTGGTGGATCACAGCACAGAAGTACAAGGACACACTTGAGCTAGTACAGAGCAAAGTTCTACGGCTCATAGGACGCCCTCCGTTTCGGAAACGGTTGAAAGTCCTCAGGAAGGAACTTCATATCGAGTCCTTCACTCAATGCTTGTTTAACGAAGCCCATCAAGCCTTTCAAACCAACGAAGCTCCGGCAACCCTAAAACAATTAGCTCGACACGTCTTCACTACAGGGCAAAGAAGACAAGCATTCTTTTCTGAAAGCGTAGTGCATCACAAAAGCCGATTTGGCTATTGCTGAGGTCCGACATGAACCCACATCAGCCACTTACACGTAGCAGTAAAACGCGAAATGCGTGCGAACTGCAACAAAAGCACACAAACCTTCGGCAAACC